ATATATATATATATATATATATATATAGTTTCAGTGTTGAATATTCCAACGTAATTTTGAAATTCTGATCTGTGATAAAATTGTCCTACTAGTTTAAGCATCACTCAGGAAAGAATGATCCTGAGACTTTATAGCAGAAGTCCTATAAAATAATTACTATTCAATGTGGCACGAAGTTATAAGTATACATAAGGGTGCACTTTGGTAAATTAGTGATTTTTTTTTCCTTTGCTCTGTTTTTTGTTTTGAATTTGAGTCATTGTTTTATTTCATATTTCATCCTTTTAGTTTCCTCTTATTGTGAGCTTATCAATTTGTGGGCTTGCAGCATACAATTGTCGGAAGAAGTAGTTATCAATTTCTGTATAATTTAGGAAATATCGTATAAACAAAAGAGATCCTGTTGGTGTTTATTTTGTTCTGTGTGTGTATCATTACTTTTTGAGATCCTTGCTCTAGCATATCTTAAAGGTGCAGATTGTTTCTTCAATTCTGTTTTACTCTTCTTAGTTGTTAATTTATGTTTCATTATTGTCTTGTCTTTTGGTATTCAAGGTGAAGAGATTGAGATAGAGGTTGATGCGCAACAAGAAGATGGTCCTGCAACACAAGAAATGGAGGCATTGAGAAATCATATGGCTGCAAGTTTAATGAGTTCATCTGCTTAGAAATGTATATGATTGCTTGTTTATGACTAGCTTAATTTTTGTTATGACCATATTTTTTACAATATATTTGTTTTTAATGGAAACTTTATTTATTTTATAATTAAAACAAAATTTAGGGTGTGATGGAAACATATTTAACACAAATATATATATATATATATATATAAGATAAAATGAAAGTGCTTTTCCTTTTACCAAACACATAAACAGAAAAGCCAATTCAAGATAATGTCCTTTTTAGTCATTATACACTGCTCACAGCACTTTCGCAAAAAATTTACCAAACACTCATAAACTGATTATTGTACAGAAAAGAATAGATAAAAAGGTTGGATATGTTGTTTAGGCCCTTTGACAACACCACACGGCGCCTTCCACTTCTACTCCCACGAGTCGACGGCCACCACTTGTTCCGGCGGAGGAGCCCGAAGTGACATGCCTTAAGGTCATGGGCCATTATGTCTTTCTCTCTCGAAGTGGAATGTGTGGCATGAAGAAATTGACTTGGGTCCCGTACTAGTAAATTAGTTAGAAGAAATTAGCCTCACTTGGGGGAGCTTTATGCTGGGGGTGTACCTACTGTATGTGAGAGAAGAGAAGAGAAGGTCGTAGACTTGTAGTCTAGCTAGCTAGCCTTATATGACTAGATTATTTTATTTTTGTGGATAAATTATATGAAGATTCGAATTTGAATCTCATTACTCATTGTGAACTGATTAAACCCGGAATATATTTTGGTAAATAGTTGAGTGACTTGGATGAAAACATAGTAACCTTTTTTTGGTAGCAATCGTCGTTTTGGTCATCTCCTGTTTGTAAATAAATAAAGTAAATGTCAATAATAATCTTCTCCCTCCCAAATTCCATGGTATTGTATCATGTTCCCAGCTATTTACTTGAAACTTGTGTTAATCTGCTGTCTTGGATCTTGCCAAACTCTCCAAAGGCATCGATGGAGTTTCGAAAAGCTTAATTAATGAGTTGTTTATCTTCAATTAATTATCATTAGACTATTGTAAAAGGAGGAACATTCTTGAGGCATAAGCCTTGTATAATAGGTACAATATTATGTTATATTCCTTAAATATATGATGCACGGTATTATTATTATAAACTAGCCAGTCCTCTATTAAGTCACAAGTATTGACTACATTTGTATGATGTCTATCTCAAATATATCTCCATCCGAAATTGGTGCATGGTTTTCAATTTTATATTGCCAAGTAGAAGCACAAAATGAAAGTTTGTTTG